TTCCTGCACTCCTGGGATAAATTCCACTTGGTCATGGTATTATATATAATAATATTTTATGTTGCTGGATTCAGTTCTTTCATTTTTTTATTAAGAATTTTTGATGATGTAATCATTTTTTATGTTGTTAGACTCAGTTGCTAATTGTTTCTTTTTTTTAAATTCACTAATTATTTTTGGCTGTGTTGGGTCTTGGTTGCTGCGCGCGGGCTTTCTCTAGTCGTGGCGAGAGGGGGCTACTCTTCGTTGTGGTGCGAGGGCTTCTCATTGCGGTGGCTTCTCTTGTTGCGGAGCACGGGCTCTGGAGTGCAGGCTCAGTAGTTGTGGTGCATGGGCTTCGTTGCTCTGCAGGATGTGGGATCCTCCCGGACCAGGGATCGAACCCGTGTGCTCTGCATTGGCAGGTGGATTCTTAACCACTGTGCCACCAAGGAAACCCTCTACTGCCTTCTTGCCTCTACTATTTCTGATAAATCACTGGCTGAGCGTATTGTTGTTCCCCTCTATGTGACGTCATTCTTTTCTTGCTGCTTTTAAGAATTTTCTGGGGACTTCCCTGGTAGCACAGTGGTTAAGAATCCGCCTGCCAATGCAGGGGACTTGGGTTTGATCCCTGGTCCAAGAAGGTTCCACATGCCGTGGAGCAACTGAGCCCGTGCACCACAACTACTGAGCCTGAGCTCTAGAGCCTGTGAGCCACAACTACTGAAGCCCGTGCGCCTAGAGTCCGTGCTCCACAAAACGAGAAGCCACCACAATGAGAAGCCTGCACACCGCAACAAAGAGTAGCCCCCGGGGCTTCCGTGGTGGTGCAGTGGTTGAGAGTCCGCCTGCCGATGCAGGGGACGCGGGTTCGTGCCCCGGTCTGGGAAGATCCCACACACCGCGGAGCGGCTGGGCCCGTGAGCCATGGCCGCTGAGCCTGTGCGTCCGGAGCCTGTGCTCCGCAACCGGAGAGGCCACAACAGTGAGAGGCCCGCGTACTGCAAAAAAGAGTAGCCCCCGTTCGCCACAACTAGAGAAGGCCTGTGCGCAGCAACAAAGACCCAATGCAGACAAATATAAATTCATTAATTAATTTAAAAAAAAAAGGATTTTCTGTCTTTCAGTAGTTTGTCTATGATGTGTTATGGTGAGGATCTCTGTGAAGTTATCTTACTTGGGATTTGATGAGCTTCTTGGAACTGTAGATTAATGTTTTTCCATCAAGTTTGAGAAGTTTTGACAAATACTCGTTTGAAAAGAGATTTCCTGCCCCTTTCCCTGTCTCCTTTCAGGATCCCCATTATACCTGTATTGGTATGTTTATGTTATTCCATATGTCTCTGACGCTCTGCTAATTTTTCTTCAATTTTTTCCCCCTCTCTTCTTCAGATTATATAATTTCTGTTGATCTATTTCAAGTTCACAGATTCTTTCTTCAGACTTCTCAAATGTGCTCTTATTCTAGGATTTCCCTAGAAGATCTCTGTTACGTTTCTGGCTAGTTATCTTATCTGCTGCTGTCCCAACCGGGACTAAAAGCTCAAGCTTAGGAGAGCTGCAGGCTTTTTCCATTTGCCACGCTGAGTGTGGGTTTTCCACCCTCTGCTCCCAAACATATCAGACCCCTTTGGCAAAGAAAGCTGCTAGGATTCACAGCTAGTCCCACTCCAGTAGAACTACCATGCTGAATGCTCTGGGCTGCAGGTCAGGGCAGAGTCTCAGGCCAGGACGTCACAGGCTGCCTGAAGACTGACGTCAAGTTCAGCAGTTTCGAGAAATTAAGCTCTTCTCAAGTTGTTGTTTACCTTTGGTTGATTTTCAGAGATCTGAAATTGTTGTTGTTGACAAATTTATCTGTCTTTATAGTTGCTTTTTGGGGAGGGGAGGTCTCCCTTTCACTTCTCCATTGCTAGAAGTCTCCTGCTTTCACTTAGATTCTGGCCCACTGAATGTTTACTGCCATAACAGTTCTTAGTTCAGGGGATTTTAAACATGTTTCACCTAACATTTTTTGGTATTTTCAGTGGGAGGATCAGTCTAGATATCTATTCGGCCGTACAGAGAGAGTTAATACTTTCAGTTTTTTATGACCATTAAATGAAATTTTTTATGTAAAGAATTAAGCAAAGTGTCTGTAACATGAAAGGCTCAAAGAACTTTAGTTATAACATCTGAATACTTGTATTGTAGGGATTTTACATACATTATTTTATTTAATCATATCTCTAAGAGGCAGGCATTCAAATTTTGATATTACCACCCCCGCTAAAAAAAAAACAAAACGATTTACTAGACTAGGGCCATACCAGGTAGTAAATGATGGAGTCAGGGTCTGGTGCCTTCCACCCTTGATCATGCTCCCTCCAGGGTGAAAGAGATTTCCGTGGCTGCTCTTTTGGGGTGGCCTGTAGACTATGTAGGACATCATAAGGAATTAAATCCAGCACAGGTGTTAGGGAGAGGGCTCATTGCTGTCCTGGTTGGCAGTGACTCCAGTCACAGTGGGACACATAGAGATTCCCAAAAGCAGACAGGGCTTTTGCTAAGACAGTTAACACTTGAGCGCGTGGCACCCGTGTGAGTCATCGAGAGGACACATAGAGATTCCCAAAAGCAGACAGGGCTTTTGCTAAGACAGTTAACCCTTGAGCACATGGCACCTGTGTGAGTCACATCGACAAGGCTTTGGGCTCTGCATGATATTTACCCGCAGTCCAGTTACATTTGCAATGAACAGGTAGATCTGAGCTGAATGTACCACAAAAACACCTAAACAACGGAAATTCTTTCCATTTAAAAGCTTTTACGTATATTTGGGAGTTAAGGAGCCAACGCTGGGAAAGGGAAACCTTTTGGATTGAATCTGCCAAGATGGTAAAATTATTTGAGAGACTGTGAATCTGGTCCCCAGCCCTGAATATCCAGAAACTAAATTTGATGCTGCTGCAAAAGACCTTCTAACTGATGTCCCCCACTGACATTTTCTTCTCACCTTTGATGCGTTCTTTATATCCTGACCTTGGCAACCTTCCTCAGACATTCTCTCATCATGTTTCTGTGCACTTTCTCACTGCTCCCTCTTGTTCTCCTAATTCTGTATCCACCAGCCGCTGTAAGCTGCTCCCATGCACGTGTCCGTCTCTCAGCCCCACCCGTCCCTGCTCTTGTGGGCTCATTCACTCATCCTCCTCGCATCCTCTACTCCTAGCAGCTCCTTCTCACCTCCAAACCTCTGCTTCTGCCTTTCTTTCTACTGTCCTCCCCACCCTTCCCCAGCGCCTCCTTTCTTGGAGCACACT